TAGAAAGGTCCTGTTCTGACAGAGTGAGTGCTGTGTGTGCTGGGACGGGCCTGTCTTGCTCCCGAGATCTGCTTCGTTGTCTCGGCTGGAGCTGATGTCGGGCTGTCAGGACAGGATGGGGGACTCGAAGCTTCTGAAGGAGCGAAGTGGGATGTCCCTCACTGGGGTGTATCGTGACTCCCGAGGTGGTGACCGTCTCCGGGCACTTTCAGTAAATGCAGGCAAAGTGAAAGAGCATGTCCGGGTCCTGCTGTGAAGGGTCTTCGTTCCTCAGTGTGGTCACACGGAGATGACAGTGCTGTGTGCTCACGGTCAGTTCCCAGTGCTGCCTTCAGAGCAGGAAGAAAACGTGTAAAATGTGCGGATGGTGTCACGGTTCAGTCTGTGAAGAGACTCTCCATTTACGTGGTTTAGGGGAGGCCGGGGTGCACTGGGAATGAAGGCAAGCGTGAAGGTCTAACCCACTGAGCTAGCTTTCTGCCTGGGGAAAAGTGGCTTGGTTTTTATAGTCTGTAAAACAAGGTGGTTGTTACCTCCCAGGTTGTTGTAGGGGTAAAGAAACCAGCCAAGGACCCATCACTCACTCAGTCCCCAGCCCGAAGTCAGTGCCTCCGGGCCTCCCTCGGGGGGCTGGTGCCCCACTGAGGAGGGGGATGCTCTGGGCAGCGCAGTGGTCTTTCTGAGGAGCAAGTTCATGGATGCGAAGGAACGTGCTTCACCTTACCATGCATTCACTAGCCATTGCTTGCTAGAGACACTTCTTTCTCTTTCAATTTTGGATGCAGAGTTGAATGAATGATGTTTCCTCAGTGCGCAGGCTCAGCTTCTGACAGTGGACGGCTCCCTGGTTCTAATTTTACTCCTTCATCCTACTTTCTAATATTCTCCCCACGCAAGGGCCCACTCTGGTTTGCCACATCTTCAAATCTATATCCTAGGAAAACTGTTAGCATGAGGTGTGTTTTTAATTTACACTTAACTGAATGTGCAACGTATTGTGCTGCATCTCTTGGCGGGTGTTGCCGGCTGGCTGGGTAACACTGATGGTGTGCAAAGGGGAGGCGGTGATTTACTGAGACATAGCCTCTTGTGTAAACACCACAAGGTTCATTGTCACTTATGGAAAATATCTCTCGGGGGGACAACTCAGCTTTTAAATAGTGTTTTCTGAAGATCCAGCAATGAACTGAGCTGGGCTTGGCATTTGAACATACATCGCAGTCAGACCAGGGCGACTTATGCCCTGTGGAAACAAGCCTCAAAGCCCTCTCTGTGTTTCCCAGGTTGCCTCCCAGTTCTCATTCTCACACTGTGATAACTAATATCGTTGCTTACGACCTGGGTATCATCTTAGATTCCTCCTTTATTCCCAAATTCTACTGGCTCCTCTCTCGTCTTGGTGGTAGAAATGTACCCCCTCCATCTGAAGGACCGTCCGTGTCTCAATTTCCATCTCCCATTTTCTGCTCTAGATTATTTTATCCACTCTCTTCACCAGCGAAGTCTTTCTTATTCACATTTTTCTAATTGAGTGAAACTTTACTATGGTTTTATTTTTGTAGGACAGCCTGAGCAATGAGATAACATTCATGTTTGTTTCAGCTCATTTCTAGGACACTGATACCATACTATCCTCTGTCTCTCGGAACAGACATGCACACAAAGGAACTGGGACAATAGACCTCGTATTTCTTTTCATTAATTTGTAATAAAAGCTGCCGGCAATACTCGGCCATTATTATTGACCATCTTGTACAGGGCACTGAGTGAGATCGTGAGGGGCGTACAAAGATGTGTGAACCAGAACCATGTAGTGTAGAGTCAAGACAATTCCACTGGCTGCAGGGGTGAGTATTTGAAATCTTATGTTTATGGGGACTCAGAGACAGAATTATTAATCCTCTTTTGTTTCTCTAGCCTTTAGCCCTTTAGTTACCTGGACCCACTAACACACTACACAAACACACTTCATAAATCCACAAATATATCATAATTTTTCAATTCTAGTTCAGAAGGTACTTTGTTTTATCCCATCCCTAGCCCTGAGGATAACAAAATAAACAGCAAAGGCCACAGCTTCCTGTGACCTACTTAAGACTATCACACATTTCCAGGGCACTGATATTACCGACTATTTAAGGGAAAACTTTAAAATGCTTGCCCTCAAAAGGTATTGGTGTGAGGTATAACTCAGTGGCAGAGTGCGTGCTTACGTTAACATGCATCAGGTCCCGGGGGTCAATAAAAAAGGTATTGTCATCCCATATGCAAATGAAATGTGCAGTATCTCACTTTTCCATATTGAAACATACACTATGTTTCTGTGAAGCTGGAGTAAACAATTTCAATGGGCTGAAAGTGATTGGGTAATCTGGTTCCTTTGCATTACCAGGCAACTGAATGAGATGATTACTATTTTCGGAGCCACCCTGGAGAGGGAAGGAATTCTGCAAATGTGCCTGAAACACAGGGCTGGTCCTGGTCCACCTTGAAGCAGGATCTGGCTTGTCTGATTTCTCAGAGTGTGAGGGAGCTCACACTTATGTCACGATTAAAAAATTAGTCCTTTGTATTTCTCATTATGCAGTCACAGGAGAAACTGAGTCACCGTTAATGGTGTGTCAACTAGGAAAAGAAGTGACGGTGTGTGAGAGATGGAGTCTAATCAGAGCAGTCAAAATTTTGGTGACCGTGGTTCACCCTTAGGGTCAGCAGCTACTGCATCTTTCATCCAAACCACCTCAACTGACCGCCTGCCTCATCAGTTTCTTAATATGTTCAATGAAGTTACAAAGAAAAAAAAACCCCAAAAACAAAAACCAGCAAATGCTGTTGACTTGCAGACTCATTGTTTCAGACTAATTTGCAATAAAAAAGGAAGAGATTTGGAGAACATGGTTTAATATTAAGAGTAAGCTAGCAATAATCTCAGTTTGCATGGGACGTTCCAGGTTTTATCACTAAAAGTCCCACATCACAGGAAACCCCAGTCCCAGGCAGTCCCCAGTGGTTGTTCACACTAGGAGGTGTAGATCAAAAGACAGGAACTCAGGGCTGAATTGATAGCTTTTTCCTCTTGATGGGAAAGCAAATATCATGTTTACAAGAGGTAGAAACTGAATTCCTTAAATGAATTCATTGTTCATTCATCAGTTTTCTTAGTAAATCATCTAGAATGACTTCTCAAACATCTAATCCAGGGCAAAGCTGTGTCAGAACACCTATGATAAAAGTGCCCAGTGAAAATGCGGTTTGAAAGTTTGAAAAACATTTCATCATTGGAGAGGTGATGAGGCTTTTGTGACGTATGTCACGTACATGTGATGAAAATTCCAGCATAAATAGAGATTAACATAGTCACTTTTCTTCTCTCAAAAAAATTTCTGATCACTATTTCCTTGAGTGATGATCTATAAATCAGTTATCCTTTCTGTTCACCAC